CCCCAACTATGTCAAGGTCCTTGGAGTACTCATCTCTAATGATCTAAGTGCTAGAGCCCACTGAAACTAAATAACCAAAAAGGCATTAAGAGTTATTAACCTAATCCTGTATAGCTTTTTCTCTGGTAATATCACACTACTAACTAGAGCACACAAAACATTTGCTAGACCAATACTTGAATGCAGCTCATCAGCCTGGAATCCACATTACATAACGGATATTAATACAGTTGAGAAAGTTCAGAAATATTTCACGAGAAGAGTTCTCTACTCCTCAACTTATAGCATAATACCTTATGCCACCAGACTTGAAATTTTAGACCTAGACAAACTAGAACAAACCACCTTTGGTCCGATCTAAGTATGGTACATAAAATTATCTACTGCAATGTCCTACCTGTCAATGAATACTTCAGCTTCAACCACAACAATACAAGAGCACACAATAGATACAAATTCAAGGTAAACTGCACCAAACTTGATTTCAGGAAATACGACTTTAGCAACAGAGTGGTCAGTGTCTGGAATACTCTACCTGACTCTGGTTTCTTCCCCAAACCCCAAAAACTTTAACCTTAGACTGTCTACTGTTGACCTCACCCCTTTCCTAAGAGGTCTGTAGAAGGCATGCATAAGTTCACCAACGTGCCTACCGTCCCTGTCCTGTTGTTTCTTTTTTATTCATATCCATTTCATGTATTCATAAGCATGCTTATACTGAAACCTGTTATCTAATACTTGCTTGACAAATAAATAAAAATAAAATTCCCATGTTATGTATTCAATAAACCCTTTTGGGTTATCCTTTCAGAGATATTTTCTTACTTAAATAGAGAAATAGAATGATCACATGCAAATTGTGTTGGTTTTACAACTGCATGTCATTCTAATGAAAAATAAAGCATTGCCATACTTTCATACATCATGGTATCTTGACATTGATAGTTCCATAATATATCTTTGTCCACCAACAAATGTCAAGAGAGGATGATGTACCTTCCAATGTTTCTAAAGTCATCATCATTCAATGCATCAGTTGGGTCTCTTCATATTGTTGATCTCAAGGCTGTTTGATTCATTTGGGTGTAACTCAGCCTCTCAGCATCAGTCTGAGCAGCAATATCAACCACATATTGTTGGAATAGACATCCTCTTCTTGAACCATTCTCATGGTTCTTAATTTTATATGCATAGTAACACATTTCCCTTAATTTCTTGTTGTTTGTAAACTAGAACTGAAGATGCCAGCCATCATCTCCAAGAGGGAAAAATGTATTGAAAGCTGTCAGAGGATTGATGGAACTCTGAAATTATTTGCAAAACACCTCCTCATTCTTTCAACACAATGTGTTGTGATGTTGAATCAGTCAGTGTTGTTTGGTATAATGATGGAGACTTTGTTGGCAATTTGTGCATTAATTTATCTCTCATGTTCAGATGTTACTCAGGATCAGTGACAGTGGAAACTTCCAGCATGTCTGTTTTTTGTTTTTGTTTTTTGGTTGAAGGGACACAATGTATGGGTTTCATTGTCATCATAGTTTTTTTCAGTAATTCATCAGTTGCAGATTGAATTCCAATGTTTTCAGTTCTGTCTTGAGAGTCTGTGAAGTATATTTGAATACATTTGACTTGCTGGTGGTGCTCTGGCATTAAATATCTGATATAATGGTGGATTTGCCTTCAAATAACCAAAGAAGGATTCCATCCATTCCTTGTTGGAAGGACTTCCAAGGCAAGAGATGCCTCGCAGGTTAGGTGCTCAGGAACAAGATAGCATTGATCAAGAAGAATGATGAAGGTCTCAAGAGTGTGTGAGAAGTGCCATACCACCAGTTGAGCTAAAGTCACAATGAAAAGCTACTTGTGACCTTACTGTCTACACTTTCTTTGTCAAGTTTACTTTATTGCTTTCCATTTTCCCAGGGCATTGGAGCAAATAGTTTGAATTTTAGTGACAATCCTCCTTCGACTGACACTGTGGCTTCTGCAACCTACTTAGATTTAGGGAAAAGAAACTTAAAGGTGATTCTCACAGCTTACATCCTTTAGAAAAAAACAACTGTGGCTTTTAGAGTTATAAAATAGAGTTATCAGGCAGCTTGCAGGTGCCTAAATCCTCTGCAGAGGTATTTTACCTGCATTGTTTGGTGACATCGCACACACTTTAGCATAAGAGAAGTGTCTCAATACAAATATAAGTGGTTGAGCAAAACAGCAAAGCCCATTTTAGTTTCATTTTACATATACAGCAGGGATTAAAATCAGCATGTTTAGCAAAAGAGGAAAGTTGTATTTTAGAATTTCTAAGGGGCTATTTCAAAATAAATGGAGAGTTTTATTAAGGCCTTTTGCTGAAACATTTTTCTGCAAGCAGTAATTAAACCTTTGAGGAAGGAAAGAAAAAGGATGTGAACATGTCAGCATTCATCTGTCAGCATTTCTTTGGAGTAGCAATTAGAAATGTCTCCTTCCTTTCCCTTCCTCTTTCTTAACTAACAGAATATGTTTACTTGGGGAAATTTTAAACTAAAAATTGACATGTAGCGTTAAAAACTATACAAACATGTGCACAGGTACACACACATACAGTTTAAACTTTGCATATCTTGTTAACAGTTGGATATCACAGTTTTAATGACAGCAACTACAGTATATCTGGATTTACTAAATTCCACATGATGCAGTTAAAGAGTTTTCTGTGTCTCTTTAGTGCCATTTGGGGTCATATAGATTTTTGCAATCCGAACTTGTTGAATCAATAGATAGCCTTAATTATAGTAATTTTATAAAAAGTACAAGAGGTGTCCAAGTGAGAATAGTTGATGAATGACAGTGTTTTTGAGTTCTAAGTTTTTTATATGAGGTTCTTTTTCTTTTAATGACCCTGTAATCCCTTGCATTGGGGTGGAGTTTGCGGTGACTGCATGGAGCTGAGTGTTCACTGGCCTGATGCCTTTCCTGCTGCCTACACGGTGTTAGCAGCAGATATTTTCTCTTTGTGTCCAGAGAGAGAAATATCCATAGCTATCTAGGATCGAACTCGCAGCCTCCTGATTGTGAGGTGAGAGCTCCACTTCTAGTATCTGTCTAAAGTTACTTAGCTTAATATTTAGGCTCACTGAGATTTACAGTTTAGGAGTCAATTTACATTTAGAATAACATTTTACTATATTCAGAGTTTTGAAGTATCTTGTCCTAGTAACCTTACTGATCTCAAAAATCAAAGAAATACTGTTAAACTTAAATAAGTTCTGTGAGCCAGAAAAATGATACTTTTTTGGGCAATTATATCACAACTTAAAACAGCAAAAATCTCATTAACAGATTACACAGTTAATTTAGCATAATTAGTACATTTCATCAAGTCTTATGAAGTATTTGTTTAAAAGCATTATCAAAATAATATGCAAGACACAAAGGAATCAGTTTCAGGTACCTTGGTGGCTTCATATAAATTTTTATTTTTTATTTTTCCAGTCTAATATTTATTTAATGGTTCCTATCTCATTCAAGGGATGTTTATGAGCAGATAAGTCAAGATAATCCCATTGTCTCATACAAATCATTACATATTCTTGTATCAAATACCATTGTCAGTATATATATTCTGAGATCCTGGAGATTTTGTAGTGCAAAATAATATCCCATCATCTGGAACTTCTCTGTAAGATCTTCTTTTAAAATTTGTGTGGTGTGGTTCAGAAGACATTGTAAGAACAAACAAGGAATCTGTGACACTATCATAATATATTTTATGGTGCCTTCCTAGCTCTGAATTTCACTGATAGAGTTACCAGACACTAGGGTCAGTAATAAGGAATTTCTGTCAAATTAATTGTAGTTGCTTCTTCTCTGAATATTTTTTATTTAATTGGCTTTGACTGAAATTATGCTTGAATATTTTCTATATTTGTTTCACTAACATTCTCATCCAGAACAAATTGTAGAGATAGTGCTTCCATTATCATAGTTGTATGACCAGGGGTGGGATTCTACCAGTTTGCACCTATTTGCTAGAACCGGTTATTAACATTCTAAGCAGTTCGGAGAACCGGTTGTTGGAAGAAATTACTGGCCTAATCCTGTAAGGAAGGCAGGAAGGAAACATTCTGGTGTTGCTTACAGAAACTGCCTCTCTGTTGACCCTTATTACATTCTTGGCAGGACTAGACTTCCTATCTCAGGAACTTCTCTGGAGTTTTTTCCCCCTCCTTTGCTGGTACTTTGTTTGTGTGGAGTGACCATTCAAAGTTACAATGGCACTGAAAAAAGTGACTTATGACCATTTTTCACACTTACGACTGTTGCAGCATCCCCACAGTCATGAGAGGCCAGGCGAGGAGATGCGTGCCTCGATGTGAGTGATATTGAGTTGGCCACACCCAGCCAATAACATGACCACCAAGCCACATCCACCTGGTCACATGACCACCAAGCCACACCCACCAACTAAGCCACGCCCACAGAACTGGTTGTTAAAAAATTTGAATCCCATCCCTGTGTACGACCCATAAGCCATTGAGATGTGTAGTGATTCCTATTTTCCCAGAGAATACATTTTTGGATCAAAATTAAGATTAGATTCTACAATTCACATGATCCTTTCTAAGCATCAAAACAGTGTAACTTGGGAGCCCCAAACATAAATTTATTGGTGGTCTGACTGACTATCACCGGTAGAACACTGTAAATCCAGATAGATTTTTTTTTTTCCTGTTCTAGTGGGGTTGTTCTCACATCTGAGGAATCTGTTAACTATTCCACAGATTTGACTTAATACATGTTGATGGGACAGTGCTAAAAATATTCCCTTTGTTGTCAATTTCAATTTATATATTGTACATTTTTCATGCCTGTGCCTGGTGCCTGGTATTGAAGCAGTTCTTCACTTAATTCGTATTACTTCCAGCTAAACCATTGTGTTGTTTCTGTGCTGCTACTCTTGATCTTTTAAACTCCTCCTCCTTAACATATCCTATTTTCCGGGCATATTACAGGATGTATTGAATAACCTGGGCTCCTGTGACCTGGATGAAGATGACCTGATGCTTGATTTGGAATTCCTAGAAGATCCACAGCATCGACAGCCTGGTAAGCCCCAAGAAAATATAAATGGCTTAAATGCTTTTGTTGAATGAGCTTTTACTCTGAGTACTTTTTCAGGAAGCGAGTAGTAAATATAATTCTTAACAGGGACAAAAAAGAAGAATAGAGGATACATCTAATTTAAATGGCTTTTAAGTGTATCTAGTTCAGAATGGTTCAGATTGCTTTAGGCAGTTGGCAAAGATAGTATCATTTCCCCCAGATGCTTATTTCTTCCTTAACACCATTCATAATGCTGTTTTTACTGGGGGAAAAAAATCATGCATTTTCCCCTTTGTAAGATTAATTCTCACATCTTTTTCTACTTCTTTTTTTATACAGCTGAATCTTAACTGTCCAGAAACTGGAAGGTTAATGATTCTTCAGATAGTTTAATACCTATGGCCTATGAAACTAAACAAAGAAGGGGTACCCTGGTAGTCTCTCCAAGGTTTTGTTTTTTTCCTTAACCTTTTCCTCCTACCCTTTCTTTCACTTTCACCATTAATGCTTTTATATCATTTCTCTCCCCCCCACCACTCATTTATATTATCATTTTAGTTTACAGCCTTGCGTAAGGAGGATTCTGTTAAGATTGTCAGATCTTTTTTTTCCCCTTGTGTCCTCAGGAGCTGAAAAAGTACAAAGTTTTGGTTAGCATCAACTGATGTCTATAAAACAACTGTAGCTTTTCTCTCTACAATTTGAAAATGACCCAGTTTGGTCCAATGGTTAAGGCACCACACTAGAAAGGAAGGGAGCATGAGTTCTAGTCCTGTCTTAGCCTAGAAGCCAACAGGGTGACTTTGGGCAAGTCATTCCCTTTCAGCCCAACCCATCCCATAGGGTTGTTTGTTGTGGGGAAAAATAAGAGAAGGAAAGTATGTTAGATATGTTGGCCGCCTTGACTTATTTGTAAAAACAATAAAGGCAGGAAACAAACAAGGAAGGAGCCAAGGCATATGTTTTCTTTTTCTTGTATAGAGCTGCTGTGGGGAATTAACCACAAAGTAATTGGAATGTGAAAAAAGCTTCCAAGTAGATGTGGTAAATATTTATTTGAAGTCTCCTAGTGTTTCCAGAGATCTGTCAATACCGGATGCTTAAAAGTTAGCTTGATAAATCAAACATGATTTGCTTAAGGGATGCCTGCTTATTACACTACATAAATTAGGAGCTTAAATGTTTTGAAAAACACCATAGTAATAACCATGATGGCTTTGTACTGTAGGCTACTGTTTTTGTACAGTAAAGCACTGACACAATGAAGTGGTATTAAATTAACCTTTCTTGTTCTTAAGCTTTTCTTCTACTCTGCTATTCCGATGTATCTCTTTAACATTTCAGCATTAAATTTGTAACTCAAAACATTCCATGTATAAACAAAAAGCTTATATTTCAGTTATCGGAGGAAAGGATTATTGGAACAATTGGCTGGCATAACAGTAGATATCGAGTTTTATATGACAGGAATTTATTAAGTATTTTCTCGAGAAAAAAGTGTTGCTCTCTCCCAAAACAGATTGAGATAGAATACAAATAGCTGTAGATTGCATATAATACTACTACTAGTTCTAGGTACCAGTTGGGCTGTATGTCCCTATTTAGATGAGAAAGAGATGAGAAACCCAGATGTCATGTGACTCATCTTGGTGTGGCAGTAGCACACAATCCTATATGACACAACCAATCATCTAACTGTTGTTGCTTTTAACGATTCAGTCACGTCCAACCCTTAATCACTTTATAGGCAAGTACTCTCCATGCTATCCTGTCAAGCACAACTTAGTCATCTATCTACCATGTTTTTAATCCAGCCATCAAAAACGAGGCTACCACTTCCTTCCCTACTTCCTTCCACTTCATGTTTCTCTTTTAGAAATAAACATTTCTCACACAGAAACTCGTATAGACTGACATAGTTCTTGGGCTGTTGCATAAAATGAAGACAAAAGCATCCACAAGAAATCTATTTTCGTGGGACCTCTCTAGGAGCTTATCTCTATCAATGACATCAGAAAAAAAAAGTCAACCCTCTCATAAAAAGCTTGTGTGATAAGAGATGAGCTAGTTGATTGCGATGATATAATCTGTTTGGAGGTAAATCTAATGCCTGGGTTAATTAACTCAGTTTTGGAGTGCTTGTGATGTTTTGAGATTAAAAAAAAAAAAGGATTTCAAAATCAAATCAAATTAAAGAATCTGAAAGAACACAGTGAATTTTGTTAATATAAATAGTGATAATTTGTAAAGATTATTAAGTGCAAATAGAAATACATATTATTTCAACAGCAAGTAAGATAAAGCAGTAATGGTTAAACTGATTATTCTATCCAAAGAGGAGAATATATTTATGTTTTTTTATTTGGATATCACTTCTGGATTTTGTGCTTGTGATTAAAAAAAATGAAACATTGACTTTGGTTTTGCCAGATAGGTAGACTTGTTGTTATAGAAATGGCTAGTTATGTACTAATGTGTCAAAGTAAAAAGTTGAAGTTGTAATATTGTTATCTTGTAGTGTGCTAAAAAGAGCTGGAAGTCAATGCCTTTTTCTTTCTTCTCTTGTATTTCCCACCCCCTTTCTTTTTCCTTCCCTTAATTTCCTATTTTTATTTCTCTTTGTATTTTATATATTGATAAAATTATATGTGTGTGTGTGTGTGTGTGTGTGTGTGTGTGTGGTATTCAGCTTTGTTCAGATATTTTCCCACGTCATTATAGTTGTGCTTTTAAAGTTGTAGCAATGTTTCGGCAGAATCTCAATCTACAGCCCCATGCTGAAGGAGCAGCTTCACATGTATAAAACTCATACCACCTCTTGGAAATGATCAAAGATCTACACATGGAACAAGAAGATCTGCTTGTAAGTTTCGACGTGGTTTCACTATTCACTCAAGTCCTGATAAAAGAAACTCTCGAAATCATCAAAAATAAATACCAAACACCTCATGGAACTAACAGAACACTACTTAACCAACACATATTTCATATACAAAGGACAAAGATACAAGAAAATTGAAGGAGCCCCTATGGGATCATCACTGTCACCCGTCATTGCAAACATGTTCATGAAGAATTCAAATCCAGAGCCCTAGCCAATGCCACCCACAAACCCAAACTATGGTTAAGATACATCGATGACACATTTGTTATTTGGCCCCATGGGAAAAAAAAAACCTAAACAATTTCCTAACATACCTAAGCAACACATACCCCAAAATCAAATTCACCATGGAAATGGAAACAAACAAACAACTACGATTCCTAGATGTACTAATCTACAAAAAAACACACTAGATGGCACACTAGGACACACCATATACCAGAAGAAAACACACACCAACTGCTCCCTCAATGCCCAATCCCACCACCACCCAGCACAGATAAACTCCGTAGCCAAAACACTAATTGCCAGAACCAAACGCCTGGCAGACAAGACACACATAAAGACTGAACTATGCACCCTGACTAAAGTACTGACAGCCAATGGCTTCCACAAAAGCAAAATCACCGGCTTGATCCACAAAAACACACTGAGACATAATGGAGACCTAGAAGATAACAAACCTATGGAACAGCTGTCCTGCCCTACATAAGAGGTACTACAGACAAAATCATTAAGATACTACACAGGCATCACATCAAGGCTGCCTTCAAAACAGACAGAAAAATAGCAGCCATCCTAAGAAGCCCCAAAGATAAAATTGACCTGGAAAACCAAGGCATACATGAAATCCCCTGTGCATCATGCCCTGCCACATACATTGGACAGACCAATAGAAGAATAAGTACCCGCCTAGATGAACACAAAAATGCAGTAAAAAAGCTGGAACACACTTCCTCATTAGTCCAACACATGAAAGCCACAAGTCATAGCATCGACTTCAATGGCACCAAAACCCCAGCCACTATAGAAAACTCCAGCTACAGAATTATCAGAGAAGCCATAGAGATTGAAAAAAAAACCTGAAAGCATGAATAGAAGAGATGACTCCATCAGACTGTCAATTATCTGGAAGCCTGCACTCTCAAACAAACAAAAAATCTCCACACCACAAGCCAGGCAAACACCTGGGCACAAACAGACCCTCCCCAATTCCTCCAGCTCAAACACACCCCAACCAGGCACCCAGATGAAACCTAGCTTCCTAATAAATGATAGCCGTCCATTTACTCAGAGCCAAGCCACACTAAAAGCCTCCAATACAGGAAACACAATGTTGCCAGCCAATCAAGACAAAAAAAAAAGCTACAAAACAGACAGAAGATATTAGAAACACCAATCAAGCAGAACACAGCAAACTCCAAGACCAATAAACACAGACCAAGACTCCCAACCAATCAGGATGAAGAAAAAAACATTCTGGCACAGCACCAAATTTAAAACAGAAACGGCTGTGAAAGTCTGACTCACAGACGAACACTATACAGAAGCCTGATGATGGCAGATGAGATTCTGCCGAAATGTTGCTACAACTTTAAAAGCATAACTATAATGACGTGGGAAAATACCCAAACAAAGCTGAATACCATATATATAAATACCTGCAAAAACTTAAGAAAACATATGCATGTATGTGTATATATATGTATATTTTCTCATACATGTATATGTATGCAAGTCTTGGCATATTCAGGTTTTTTCCCATGTAAGATTGAGAGTATCTTAGTGACGTTTAAATGAGGTCCCACTTGCCATCTTCAGGCTGGTGCTTTCGGCTTCGTGCTTGTGCAAGCAAAGCGTGATCTGAGCTGCTGTCTCTCTATAAATACTGGTGGGGAGGTTCGCTGTGTTGTCATTTCTCGATTGGTTGATGGAGTTGATGTTTGCAGATTGGCTGGCTTTTTCATAAGAACATGTGTAGCAGAGGTATTGGCTATGTGTCTATCAGCCTCCTGTGTTGTAATGACCTGGGTAATGGGCTCTGTGATGACCTTCTGTGTTCTATTATTTTGACTTCCTGGGTCTTGTGCTGTAATCTCCTGGGTCGTTGGCTGTGTTG